AAGAGTTGGTAGAAGTGGTTGATCAGGATACGGATGGTTATTAATTATTCTGGTGATCCTGTCAACTTCAATATTAGTTTCTGAAGACGGTAGAAATTGGCTGGATATTTTAACAGCGTGAATGACAGAAAAATTTAGCTTCGGAGGAATTTGAGTAAGTTGATTGGATCTCTTTAATCTTGTCAAAAGGAGCATTCTCTCCTTGGTTGCACTTAGTAATAAGTGAAACTCTGTACACAATTTGGAATTTCCATTTTGCAATGCCTAACTGATGTCAACACCCTGGATATCCAAGCAAACAAAAGTTAAAAGTCCATTAATTCAAAAAACAAAATAGTAATTAGATTCATGATTCGTCACAAATAAACCCAGTCCACATTAATGTGCATGTAACACATTGTGAGAAAAACCAGACAGCGTCTAGCTCATCAGACACCACAATAACTGCTCCAAATTCAATTCAATTCAACAAAATACACGCCACGCATTATAAACAAACCAAACCCACCCAAGCACCCACCTCAATCACTGGCAAGCTGATATCATACTTCACATATTGTCAAAAGAAAACAAAGAAAGCATCTCAGACTGAACCCAGGTTCAGAAAAGTTATAAACATTTCTACTTCTTTCCTAAAATACATATCTACTCTTCTCTTTAGGACAAATGTAAATAATCACCACGGTCACAATACATCATGCATATGCAGGCACAACAAATATTTTATTCATAAGTGTTGGTTCCTGAACATAGTTGCCTAATTCGCTCATAAAACCAGGAAAACTATTACAGAACAGGTGCGTACCCAATCACGGTATGGTATCGATCTGGAACGAAAGATTTAACGACTCAGCTCCAGAGACGAGAACAGTACCTGATAGACGACGTCGCTGGTACCGAACAGTACCTCACCGCCGACAGCGGACGAGCAATCTAGGGCACACGAGGGAGAGTGCTATAGCTGATGAGCCCACGTTTGAATATTGGTCTCTTGGCATAAGGGGAAGGAAGATATTGGGTTCGGAGAGGATTTTTTTAGACGGATGGATTCCAAGAGCCCAGCCCAGGCAAAAGCCCCCTTGGTCTCCCAAAACCAGCTGCAGCAGTGACATCCAGGCCGGGCAAGAGCTGGCAAGGCCCAAGGCAAGATAGCCCAAGCTGTTATCTGAAAGCGCTGATGTCAACAAAGAAAATAAATAAATAAATAATCTTAAAATTTACCAAAAAATTCATATTTTAAAAAAAATACATACCTAGTAAATTTTTATTTATTAATCTCATATACAATTTCATGTGAATAGTAATTTCTTTTGAGTTGCCATGATAATTGGTGGAAAAGTACAAAAACAATTGCTAAAGCAGATATTATTCATGTGAACAGTAACCGCCCTTACTTTCCCTTACCCTTTGCCATGAGAGCATCTCCACCCCAAAAGGCAAGGGCAAGGCAAAGGCAAGGCAAGGTTTGACACTATTCAAGTGAATAGTGTCAACCTTGCCTTTTTTATACTTAACTATTAATTTTGATAGCTTTTTAGATAATATTTTATGTTGCCACGTGTCACTATTGATTATAAAATTCTCACCTAAAATTTCAAATAACATTTTCGGATAAAATTTTTGAATAAAATTTTCTGTTGCCACGTGTCCGTATTTATTAAATTAAAATTTTCAAATGGAATTTTGTAGTAGAAAATTTGGTATGAAAAGTGAAAATTATTGGAAGGAGATGAATTTGTATGAAGATTTGGTGTGGAAAGTGAATAATATTGATAGGTATTTATAGAAAAAAATTTCCACAATTTTTTGATTTTTTTTTTAAAAATTTGGATATTTTTTTCAATTTTTTTTAGGCCGCTAAAGTCAACAGCTTGAGGGCAACAACCCAGTCCATTTTTTCCTATGGGCTTGCTCAGGCTGGTGGGGTCCATGGCTTGCCCGGGCTGGCCTTTCTGTGCTGGAGGAGGAATTGGGGCCTAAGGGGACCTGTTGCCATGGCAATGGCCTAGTGCTACACATGCTCTGACAAATGGGTGGAAGTGCTTTAAGGGGAACGTACTAAAGGTTGAGGTGGGGTAGGTGTGTCAATATAATAAAAGTAATGTTTTTGGTTTCAAAAATTCAGTTATGTTCTCATGGACCCTATGATCCAAGAAAGTTGTGGTTACCTACCTTTGGATCGAATCTAAGAGTTGAGAAAAACTGGTTTAAATATCAATATGTCATCTTTTATTTTACTTTTACTGCACTGAAATACTATTTTGGTTACTAAAACTATTTTTTAAATAAGTTTAATATCAAAGATGAAAATACAATATAGTTGCAGAAACACAAGTCTGGGTTCATGAAAAAAAACAAACAAACAAACAAACAAAAAAGCCCAAAATTTGTTTATAAAAATTTGTAGTTTTCCCAAACTTGGTCATGAATCATTCAAATCTAAAATTTATAAACATAAAATTGATCACTAAGGTAGAGAACAATAGGAAAATGACTTGGTTGTAGGTCCTTTAAATTCAATCACGTTAAAGTGTAAATGGATGGCTTGATGGCTCCGAATTTGGATCAATAAATTTTCTTTTGTTTATGAAAAAATTGAATATTTGAATCTAAATGAAGAGATGAAATAGATAACCAATAAGAATTAGAGTGAATCTTAAACGACATGTGTTCTTGATTTTAGTATGCAACACCGAAGTTGAAGGTAGTTGTGAATGACAATGGATGAAGAACATGTTCTTGGTTTTCTGAGAGAGAGTTTCTTTTGGTTGTAGTGATTTTTTCTTTTTTAAAGTTTTTGTTTTTGTTTAAGTTAAATTAATATTTTGTACATTAAAAGTAATAAAATAATGACATATTAATATTTAAATAAGTTTTTTTCTCAACTCTTAGATTAGATCCAAGGGTGAGTGATCGAAACTTCCTTGGACGCCTAGGGTCCAGGAGAACAGGACTATTCAAGAATTGCTAAGGAAGAAGGAAAGTCACGATTCTTTCATTACATTGAATAAATAAAATACATAACTTATTGAATAAATAAAAAACCACTTATTCATAAAATAAATAAGTTCATAATTAAAATTTACACACATAAACAAATATTAAATTTTATTGTTGAACTTGAAACTTCAAAACAAACAAAACAGAAATTGAAATACTTAAAATTAAAAATAGCCACAGGAAAATGTTCGACATATATTTCACTTGCCATAATATCTTTTATTTCGCCAAGCATATTATCCATCCTTTCATAAATTTCACATATCTTTTATTTACCACCTGATAAATTGGCTTTGTGAACTCTAATATTGCCTCAACATGTTCCCAAAAATTATCATCTTGCACGGTATTTTGAACCACAGTAGCTAAATTTCTTTTGCCTTAATCTAAATTTTTCAACAAATCTTTCCATGTTCTTTGAATAACAGTAGTTTGTCGTGCTTCTCTATAACTAACTTGCCCCTTTAACAAGATATAATGTGACGCAAATCTTATTTTAGCTACTTTCAGAAACTCCAAATGCGACTCTCTTAAAAATTGCCAAAGCATGTGTGTGGTTTATAAAAAAATTTGACAATTTACTTTTCATATTTATAAATATTTGTAAGCCACTCAAATTTTTGTGCAAGATCTTTAAAAATGAGATTTAAGGTATGAACACATGGAGACAAAAAAATTTGCTCATGCACCTTTTCAATCTCTCTCCTAGCTGTGACACAATTACTTGCATTGTCAATTACTACTTGGAGAACTTTATATGGCCTCACCTCTTCAATTGCTTCAAGCAAGAGGCTTGCAATTTCTTTACCAGTCTTTTCAATCCCCAACATATCATGTACACACAAGAACATAACACCTATGTTATTGGCATCAATAACATTGATCAATGGCTTATGCTTTACATTTGTCTACCTGTATAATACAATGGACACTCCATAACTATACCATATATCTTTTATTGGAGCTAATTCTCTTTCAACACTATTTTTTTTGTTGCATCCAACAATGCAGTTCTAGCTTTTTCAAATGAAGGAGCCTTATATCCCTTGGGACTGTTGTTAATGGATGTAACCATCTCATGGAATTGAGGGTTACTTAGTACATTGAATGATATGTCATTAGCATATAGTCCCCTTGATAGGACCCGCCCCGAATTCCTCGGAATTTGAGACAAACCCTGTGGTTTTTCCGACATCCACCCGATGCCGGGCCCACTTACTAACAACATCTTCTTCTCCAAAAATAAAGAAAAAGAGGGTCGAGAATCTCTGCCAAAATTTTAGTAGAGTCTTCCTTGAAAAACAGACTTTTCCCAAATTTTCAACTTGTCAAAACACATAATAATAAAATTCCAATCGGCAGCACGCACAAGGTAAGAGTACCCAGTTTGCAGAATAGGCCAAAATCATTCATCGATCCAAATGGGTTTCAGAAACATCATAACTACAAACACCTTTTAACCACAACCATTCAGTAAAACTGAAATATAAACCAACATTTAATCTCACCTCAATTGGTTTCCAACCCACCGACATATTCAAAACCAACTCAATGGAAGTAATAGTTTAATTCGCGTCTGCACCTAGGTGAAACCCCGGGCTACCTGTGGCTATTTTTAATTTTAAGTATTTTCAATTTCCGTTTTGTTTGTTTTGAAGTTTCAAGTTCAACAATAAACTTTAATATTTGTTTTTCTGGGTGTAAATTTTAATTATGGATTTATTTATTTTATGAATAAGTGGTTTTGTATTTATTCAATAAGTTATGTATTTTATTTGTTCAATGTATTAAAAGAACTGTGGCTTTCCTTCTTTCTTAGAAATTCCAAGAACAGTCTCGTTCTCTAAGGATTGAGAAAAAAATTGATTTAAATATCAGTATGTCTTTGTTTTATTATTTTTACTGAGAAAAAAACTGAGTTAAACTAGTATTTTATTTAACTTAAACAAAAACAGAAACTTTAAAAAAGAAAAAATCAATCCAACCAAAAGACACTCTTGGAATCCAGTCGTCCAAAAATATCCTCTCCGAACCCAAAATCTTCCTTCCCCTTATGCCAAGAGACCAAGAATCAAACGCGGGCGCATCAGCTATAGCACTCTTCCTAGTCCCTCATGTGCCCTCGATTGCTCGTCTGCTGTCGGCGGTCAGTTACTGTTCTGTAGCAGCGACGTCGTCTATCAGGTACTGTTCTCGCCTCTGGAACTGAGTCATTAAATCTTTCGTTCCAGATCGATACCGTACCGCGATTGGGTACGCTCAATCGTGATCGAAATTCGTAGGGGGTGAGCGAATTAGGCAACTATGGTTTGAAATCTATCTTGGATTCTTCTGCAGAATAATTGTTTTGCATTTTCGCATGTTTCCTTCTCTAATGGGTTTTGTGTGTTAAAAGAGTAGCATATTCTCCTTTTGCAGAGTAAAATGTGCAAAAGAATAGGAAGTTGAGCAGAAGCAAGGGCTGTGTGGCAGAGAACAGCTAACCGTTTTTTTGTTCAATAAGATGCCAAAAGAGCTCCCAAATTAGCTTGCTGCCAATCCTCATCTTCAACAACTAAGCAGGTTGATGCAGGGCCTGCAACTGTAGCAAAAGGGCCAGATCATCCTGCTGCTAGCTTCATGCCTCTTAATAGGAATCCTTCATTGTTGCGCTTCATCTCTTTGACGCTCAGAGAATGTAGGCTTCTGGCGTAGTGCAAGATCACAGAGTGACACTGGTCAATATTGGATCACCATGAGTATAAGATGGCCGAGGCTTCTAACACCTACGCACCTCTCTCAGATTATACGAAAGCAGAAAAACCCATTAACAGCTCTCCAAATTTTCAGTGAAGCTAAATGCAAATACCCCAATTACCGTCACAACGGTCCAGTTTATGCCAACATGATCAGCATACTCGGAAACTCAGGCCGAATCAATGAGATGAAGGAAGTAATTAATGAGATGAAAAACGACTCCTGTGAATGCAAAGATTCAGTTTTTGTTTCTGTAATTAAGACCTATGCAAGAGCTGGGTTGCTGGACGAGGCAGTGTCTCTTTTCAAGAACATTTCACAGTTCAACTGTGTGAATTGGACGCAGTCTTTCAATACCCTTTTGGAGATTATGGTGAAAGAGTCCAAGCTTGAAGCAGCTCATCGTATTTTCATGGAGCATTGTTGTGGATGGGAAGTGAGCTCGCGGGTTCGGTCCTTGAATTTGCTTATGCTTGCTTTGTGCCAAAAGGGTCGTTCAGATATTGCACTGCAAGTTTTCCAAGAGATGGATTATCAAAGTTGCAATCCGGATAGGGAAAGTTACCGGATACTAATGAG